GTAGTAAAACTAAACTTTCAAAAATATTAAACTAAATAACTTCGATTCTCAAAATTGCAATTCCAATGAGTTGTTTCAATACCTTCAAATAGTTAAGGTACTATATTTAGATTAACGTTCCATTTCAGTTAATATGATTGACACATGTAGTTAACTTCAGTTTTATTGGTCAAGAACATAGTAAAGAGTTAAAACAACTATCCCATTTCTATGTGTGATACAAGATTAATCAACAAAATATTGGTTCAATATTCTAAACTTAAAATACTTTTAACAATTATAATAGGTAACTAATAAACTGAAATTTGATTTTAATAAATCGAAATAGTTGAAAAAATATTCTGTTTTAGAATATGAATTTAAAAATGTGTATTGTCATTCAATAGAGAAAAACCTTGAAAAATTAGAACGATATCAAACGGTTGAAAATGATGTAAAAGAATTAATATTTTCAAAAACGTTAGTGTCTTCTGAAAAGATGAGTGTCTTATATTATATGGATCACCCCGTATATCATAAAATAGTGAATTTTTGATTGTCATATTTGTGATTCATTATGTATCTACTCGTGCATGGTGCATAATATATATTATATGGGTATATAACATACCCAAAATGTTATGAAATTATATCACATACCTAATATTGCATTTAAAATTTAAAATATAGTTTATTAAGTACACACACACACACACACAACTCACTTAAGTATACTCAACGCACACTTTCAACACATTATTTTTTTTTCTGTTCCCGATATTTACCATCACAGGAATATAGGATTCATTTTTCTGGAGCCGGTATACAGCTTAACAGTTTTTGAAGAACTGTTTTTGGTTTTTTAGTACAATATAAATACCTAGTATATATTAAAGCGTTTTGATTTATATTGTATGTACCTATACATCTATAATATTCTATATAGCTTTTTTGGTACCTACCATAAATATATAGGTAGTTGAATGATTTGATTAGATTGAAAATATAATGTCATATATTAAAGTTTTGAAACAAAATGTATGAAAATAATATTAAGCCCCGAGATGGAATAATTTATTAAAATAAGTAATAACTTAATCGTCTTAAACGATATAATTACGTGACAGCAGAAAGTTTTTCTTCAAAATATACATTTATCGTGGTGCTCAATATTGTTAGAACCGTCTTTTTTGATTCAAAACTAATTTGAATTAATACTTTACCTACTGTTAATTAGTAATTACGGGATTTTTTGGTATTATAATATTAATTACTATTATATATTATACATAGTATTTAATATTATATACCTAGTCCAAATTCCAACTAATCGAAAAGTTAAATGATTAACACCTTTTAGTCCACTAATGACTTTTATGTATACCTATTTTTCAAAAATCAATTACCTGTCTAAACGAGTTTCATTAAAGTCCAATGTTTCATAGTATAAATTATAATATAATTAGTAGTACATAATTACTAATAGGTAGTATTCAAACACTCTTTTTATTCATTCTTTACTTAACCTATAGGTACATTTAATCAAATAAGTATTTCATAATAGTAGTGATGTTTTTTTTTATATGATGTTATGACAGTGTACTATATATTTTTTTAAATTTTGGTTAATTTATAGGCACATAATAATATATAATCGGTATAACATAATATAATATACAGGTCATTTAGTAGCAGTTTTAGTACCCTTACCCGGCAATCGACTTACTTAGATAGTTAGACAAATTAACTTTATATATTTTGAGCAAAAGCATTTTTAAACGGTCGATGTTTCGTTAACTGTTGAAACTATCAATGAAAAACCACTACTTACCCACAATAAACATGCTGCAAATTCTCCAGACCAAACCGATGTGAAAAATAATGCACCGGGATGTTTGGACCATACCATTTACATGGTTCATTATACCGGTGAGGGATAATGTGGGATAATTTTAAACCGGTCTAGTTTAGCGAATTTATTGTTACATGGTTCATTATCCCGGTGTGGGATAATGTGGAATAATTTTAAACCAGTAAAGTTTAGCGAATTTCTAGATGTTGTCCCCACGATTACACCTATTAATAATAATAATACATAGGTAAGCAGAGTATTTTGTGTTGTTGTTTTTTGGTTTTATTTAAAATATATTTTATGAAACAGAATATTTCTTTTAGACATCGGTAATTACTGCTACAATATTATTATTTAAATATTTAACATTATATGGTACCTACCTATATGTTTACATTTACACATCACATGATTAGAAACTATGTAACTAATCTTAGCTACTCGTAATTGGCTGTTACTTGTTATTAGTTTTGATTTAGAAGATCAGTATTTTTCAAACTATTTTCTCATTAGGCCCCTAAATTTAATGTAAAAATGGCAACCCCCCTCCCCAAATTTTTTTTACCTAAAAGTTACTATTAACCTAAAAAAACTCTCATAAACTTTATAAATGTTAAATGCTAAATAATAATTTATAATTTATAAATGGACTAAAAAATATTGTTAAAATAAAATAAATATATCCAAATTACTTACGACCCCTCAGTAATATACTAATGGCTCCGAGCTTGAGAAGCACTGCTGTATAGATGGGTTCTATAGGTGACTAGACCAATTTCTTTTGATTCTCTTAATTGAGTTATCAGGGATGGTTTTAAAGGATTTAGTATTGGTAGTAATATGTTTTAAGCTGTAGGTTAAACTTTTACGTTTAAGTTCGACTGTGGGACGACTTTTAATTTTCTCACATAAGTGGTGAAATAATTTTTTTAGATTTAATAATTGGTATAAGTGGAGGTAAATTTTTTGATTCCTTCCTTCTCTATATCCATACTCATAGAACTGCAGAGGCTGTCGAAATCATCTTCAACTAGTTCACCTAAGGTGGCACCGAGGTTGCTTGTTATATAGGTATATTGTGAAGACGTAAGTCTCTCGTTCATGGACTTTGATTTTGGCAAAATGTTTATACAGGTACCTTTAGTCTATACGTTCTAAATAGATTAAAATGTTAATAATTTATTCATACAAAACATATAACTTCACAGAAACGTTCTCGTTGGATTAATATATTTATTAAAACTGTATCTCATAATTTTAAGCACTGGTACCTATTTTTTTTTTCTATTGGTGTTTACGACTATGCATTCTAATAATTAATTTATAAATATACATAATACATTAAAAGTATTTGTATAACCTATTTATTACAATTATTACCATTGTAAAAATAATTTAATTTTGTTTGAATAAAGAGTACCTACATTATTAAATTAATATTTATATAATTCGTTTTCTTTAAGTTGTAGATTTGTTTTGACGAGTTTTAATCAAGTTTAATATTATTACTTTTGTATACTATTGTGAATACATTAATTTATATAACGTTATATTTCAAAAAGAAACCTAATAAAATATTTGCCTTTTTTAATTTCCCGTTTTTAACATTGTCACAAATAAATTTGTATGAAATTGAAATAACAACGATTACATTTATTATATATTATATAATCTGTACAATATTGTAATAAATGGATATTTTTCAATTTCTTAATACAAAACATTATCATATATTATTTTTAAAATGTCAGAATTTATTGTAACCTGTATAAAGAACAATATTTAAATTTTAAATTCAAATTCAAAAAATTTAAGTTCAGTTATGTTTTGTCAATTATTCCTTAAATATATGATAAATAATTATAATATTCTACATTTTGAGTTAAAAAAAACCACCATAGTACTTGAAAATGTATAATTTAAATACAATATGCCAATTGTACAATTTAAAAATAAATTACTCTTCTTTTCACAATACATTATACCTATAATTTAAAATAGAAGTGTAATTATTGCACTAATGCTTTTATGAAAACAATTTTTACTTAAAATTTTTTGCTAAAAAATATAATATTGTGGTATATATCTATTGTATTTCGTGAACACAAATATTATGCAATACCTTGTCTAAATATAGTAAATATATATATATATATATATTTTAATTTTAAAAGTACATCTATAAATTAGTTAATATTATTATTAATTACAATTTACATTTACCACTGAATTGCATAATTCTTATTTTTTTACAAATTATTTATCATTACTATTCAGAATACATATAATTGGAAATACTTAGATGGAATATAATATACAATTTTAGATTGTTCAAAAATAAATCTTAGTCAAACATGGCGTATAATATACCTAGTATTATATTTTACTATTATATAGTAAAAGTAAAAAAATAAAGATTTAACATCATTTTCCTTGGAGATTTTAAATTTTAACTGCTAAAATTTACAAACAGACTAGGTATACGCATTTATGAACATACTGTGGGCACGATTGAAATCTAATCCTTTACCAGGAATTACACAACATCACAAACGTTTAAATAATGAAGATCGATAAAACAGAACAATGTAGTGTTTAAACCATATAATATAGTGTATATACTAGCTAGAATTGTTAATCCCCGTCATGTGCACTTATAATAATAGGTACCTATGGTGTATTGCTACTATGATAATAATAGTACCTACCTACCTACTAACCATAGATTACTAAGAGTGTATTAACTGGATATTTTTATCATTATTTTAATTTTTTCAAAATACCTAAAACCGCATAATATGACCAACGGACCAAGAAATTAGTGCCGTTTAATAGGGGGAATAGAAATATGAAATATGTCACGAGTCGACAGTAAAAAAACACAAAACGTGTTTTGGCTTGTGAATTGTATTTTGACTACAGACGCCATTTATAATGCAATTTGATTAAAAATCGAAATATTATTATGATAATATAATAATATTATATATGTATTTATATCATCAAACGTTTTATTGATATCGGTTATCGATACACTGCAGCAGGCAAAAAAAAGTGTTGGTGCGGGCATGCAGTGCATTGCGTTTTTGAATTGACACGTCCAATTTATGTGATGATATTGTTTTGCTTATATTTTATACTAATATTATTGTTTATTTTTCTTTTTCAGACAAGAACCGTAACCGGACCAGAATACGAGCGCAATCGAATGATATTAGAGACTCAGCGTTCTTATCGAAGGACGAAAGTACGTCATAACCGTTTGTGTCGAACCCATAAAATTACATTTCATCTCCCGTGATTTTCGTATTCATCCTATGCGTTCAGTAGGGTACAGAGTGCGCAAAAAAAAAAGTATAATGCACCAATACTACAATGCGATAATGTTAAGCAAAACGTTTACCGTCTAGGGGAGGTTTCGTTCTGATTGGATTATTGTGCGAGTGCGTCAGACTGTACACAACCAATTTAAAATGCTTAGGTACATCGAGAAGTTAACACAGATTTATTTTTTCATTTTAAGTAAAAATAAAAAAGGGAATAATAAAAAAATTATAACGTGTTTTCACTTATTTTGTTTCTTCAACTCTGAATAATAATAATAATAAAAAAAAAACAAACAAACACGGCTCATAACTCCTGCTGTAGTCCTGTGTGTCAAACACACTGAGTCGTCAAGAGAAAACTAGAATATAATTTGCAATATAAAGAGCGAAGACCTTAAAAAAAAAAAGGTTCAGATATAATAACGGTAATAACCTAAACCGAAAGATTCTTATTTTCTTATTTTTTTTTCATGTTTATAATTTTTGATTCGCCTGAAGCACACATTTTTCGTACACATAAAAATGAGGCAGTTTATATTTTTTACTAAAACTTTTAGTAGATACCTCGGTAAAGTTTTCTTTTAAAACAGGCTATTACCGTTTACTGTATTCGAAGAAAGCAAGTTTTATTTTATACTTTTGTATTACTTATTACGTTATTTGAATATATATATAATAGATATTATATATTCATTACGTACTGTTATATAATGTGATTATAATAATTGTTTAACACAAACAGCATTTCATTCATCTGTATCAGTTTGATGTTTTCTGTAATACTAACTGCTGTGCATAATGTGTACGTTTACCATTTCAGATTTGTGTTAACACAAATTGAAGCATTTAATTGCTCTACTGCAATACGCATAAAATACATAGATGATAGATCCTACTTGATGAGTGTCTTAAAATAATAATGTAATATTATCATGTTTTGATAAAATGTATAGTTATATGGAGGAACAATAACTAATTTATCAGTCAGTCGACTTAACTAGGTACCTATAAAATTTTTTAAATTTAGTTACCATATTAATTGAATAATACAATATTACAATCAGCTAATAAACAAGAAAAAAATAATATTTTTCATGCCAAAAACCGAATATTTATCGTGACTCAAAAGCTACAAACATTTTATTATTTTAGTTTACACATTTTGAGGATTATTAAACTTAAACTTTATAAAGCTTGTATTTTCTACATATTATTATTATATTAAATCCAATTTAATTTACAATTCGTTTTAGGATACTGTGTGGATAAATTTAAATTTATAAAATATTATACTCTTATAATGAATTTTGATTCACCTTTACATTGATTGATTGATTACACATGGTTTGAAGTTTTAAAAGTTAATTACCTACCTATTCAAATAGGTATGGTACAATATAGATAATATTTTGCCCATATAAGCCACAAACTTTACTTGGCTCCTGGTGAGTCCACATGTCATATGAAGCAATTTTGTTTGAACCTAGACGTGCTTTCACTTTACTGAAATTAAAACCAGATGAATATATTGTGATAATATTGACCACTCAAACACATGGAATTCTGACTACTCCTTTATGATAATAATCAACCAGCCATGAAACTCAAGTCACCAATGACATTTAAAACAATCAGGACACTGAACAATGAATTATCTTGGGTCTGAATAAATATAGACGCTTCACTCCGTAATCTATTTTAATCTTGAAATGGGTAATTTATGCTATCGTTCCTTAATTTATGTGACGAAGAATAATACGATAAATATATTATAATGTCATGTGTACTATAATATCTCTACCTGTAGGTTTTATACTGAAGTCTGGAGATGATCTTTTACGTTATGTTTAATGTTTAAACCACTTACCTACCTATTTAAAATGTATTTATGACACCGAAGGAATAAAAAAAAAAACATTATACATCTCATGTAAATGTCTCAACTGTTATGATAGGAATTCAGTCATTATACTATGAACACTGAAACGATACTATTTAACGCCAATATATAAAACATTATACATTTTTGAGTACCTATATATTGTTATGAGCGAACAACATACATTTTTATTTCATATCCAATGACATGGTTGTTATATACAATATAATATATAATTGAATTCAGAATTAGTGAAGATATAATACTATAATAATATAATGCGTTTGGAAAATGTATTACGACTGCATAAACAATAATAAATAATAGTATAAAAATTAATCCTTAATTTTTACAGAAAATCGTCCTGTAAAATATTTATATTTTAGTTCAATAAAAATATTTGTTATTTTATATTAGGTAATTATTATTCAACCAATTATATTTATAATACGATTCTCGTACAAAAAATATATTCTAATTAATTTACCTAAAATTGATTTCATTGTTTATGCATGTAACAGTATAATATCAAATTATTAACGTATTGTAATAATAATATTATGCTGCTAAATTTATGAGTTTATGACCTAATAAATTAATTTGTTTTTCTTTATTTATATTTTAACAATCTGTAATATTGGCTTAAAATAATCAATAAGTGAAAATGATGGTTATAGTAGGTACCTATAATATATGGCATGATAGTGGGCGGCTGTGGAATTGCACATTGATGTTAGAAGGTGACGTAGTCAACTGCATCAATTATTTAGTAGTTTTTATATACCTACAGTTTTATCCCACTTTTCCACTTTTTACGACTGGCTGATGTGACATCAGCAAAATGTCAACCTTTATTAACCCATGACCGTACGTACTTTTGCGGCTAGCACTGTGTTAGAGGTGGTCCCACGCAGCTTATAAATAATAGTGCAGCAACAGTTTGTACATTTAGTGAAGTTTTTGGTAAAAAAAAAATTATTTATTTATTAATTGCACTAAAATGAAATGGAATGCTAAAATTTACTTTTTTAACCCCCAACTGTGTCCCGCACATTTCGTTTCATAGCAATAGAATACTGGAGAGTGTTAGAATATGTGTTCTGATCAACAACGTAGGTATATGGGTTTTATAGCGTGGGAGGAATTATTGCTCCTCGGGGAACACCAAAATTAAAATTGTTAATATTATAATTTGATGCTCAAAATATGTTTTATTAACTGGTACAAAGTAGTGTTGGACGTTGGTTTAAAATTTAAACACTGGACTTAAATGCTTGAACAAAAAGCATGAGCTATGATTTTTTTTTTTTTACAAATGCATTTCCAGTTTATAATGAAATAATGTATCAATAGGTATGATAATTGATAACGTAATAAAGTTATTTATTAGTTATTACTCTGACAAAATAAATCAAAATGTTATTCCCTTCTCTGTACACCTATAGTCTCCTAGATAATATATACTATATACCTAAACTATATATAAGGAGAATTACTAATGGATGACTTCTCCCATCAAATGGTATATGGAGTGCTCGAATTGGTGGTGGACGCATATGGTCGAAGTACCCCAACTAATTATTCAGAAATTATAGCATACCCCTACTATTATTTTTAAGGGGAACGCACGGACGCTTTATCGTTCTGCATTTTTATCAAAATTCGAAAGATATCATCATAATTTGTCTTATGAGTTATCTCATAACCATGGATCTATAAATTAGTTAATATTAACTAATTATTACTAAACTATATTAATTTATTTACTTTTATTATCCTTTTGAGTTTGTTATTATGTATAAGTTATAACTATAATATTACAATGTATAATAGGTACCTACCTACAGTAATAATTATTAATTACCTATGTCTTATATTAACTTGTATTTTTTTTTTTTTTAATTGATTATTTATAAATAGTTTATAAAGAGTAATTTAAAAAAGTATGAGGGCTATCCACTGCTCAGTAACGTTTGACAAGTGACGAGGACGCTCTTTTTTTAAAAGTAATAATAGTCTCTCTACTTTAATTTTGGAAAATTGGGTACATATTACAAATTATTAACTGATAATAATTTATTGTACACATTGTGTGTATATATTGTTTTTCTTTTTTCTAATAAAAATAAGGTACCTATGATAACTAAAGTTATTTTGAAAAACTATCTATGATATAATTATTATTATCGAGTCGATCCACTGGTCACTGGCAACTATACCGTCATGATTATTTAATACTGTAGGTAGGCAAATAAAATTTTTTTATTTTATTTGGTTCTCATAAATCATAATAATCTCTATACGTCGAGAAACACTTCATATTGGTAGCTCACTCTCTACTGTATCGTTTACACAGTCCAGAATCATCCTCCTTACAGGTAGTTTATAAGAAGGTATTTACCTAAGTGCGATGTTTAAAATTATAAAAATAATTCTATAATCCTTAATTTGAAATACCTTTGATTATATGTACCTCCTCTACGCAACATTCCCAGTGGCACTTACTCTATAGTGTAACTACAACGACACTGTAAATATTCAATTGTCAAACAACTCACGCGATACGTTTAATTTTGCAGGTAACGAATTGCAGACACATTACGACGACGATGGGGAACTTGAAGAATACGATTCCGGATCACAAGCTCAAGAACTAGCGTTTTACACAGCGATTCTATGCGTAATCGCGTTGATGTACGGGCACGAGTGATTCGAAAACACTGCAAAAAATACGTTGTCCAATAAAATTACGATTTCTAATAATGATAATTTACTTATACGCATAGATAATATTATTATATAATATGATATGTTGTTAAGTCTGAAATGTTTTTGGTCCTTTCGTGGTTTGATTTTATTTTTCTAGTCCGATTTCTTGAAATAATGTATTGATTACTATATACACTTGAATTTAACTATGTATAGTAGTATTATATTAATAGGTAATATATAAGTACATAATATACAGGGTGATTCTTTTAACAGTAAATGTTATGTACTTAACATTTTGAAAAGTATTAACGTTTTAAACAATATTTTTTGCATAATTTGCATTCACTACAATGCCGTATTTAGACATTTTGAGCCCTGGTGTAAAAAAAAATTGGCGGAGAATATTCCACTAGACATATGAGAGATAGATCTTCATGAACTCTTCCGATTGCGAACAAAGTAAAGAATCTATTGGTTTTACAATAATGTGTGATTTTTAAAAAATATTGTTTAATAATTTCCCATCCTGAAGATAAAATTGAGTGAATGCAGTTAGAGCCATGCTTATAATTCATCATATCCTAAGTTAATTCTTTTTTTTACATATTTAGGTACTTCTTGGATCATATTAATATATTATTATGAATGAAATAAAAATAAATGTAATAAAACTTTATTATAAACTAGGAAAATTAATATTATATTTTTTCAATATACATTAATATATACTGAATGCTAATTAATAATTTTAAAAGTTTAGAATCTTAATAGTTAAATTTTTGATGAAGTTAGGTACTCCAATTATTTTATTAATTATTAACAATGTTAAGCATTATTTTATCAAGTTTTAATAGGTGGTTTTACACAGATATTTTAGAATATTAAGTGCATATTTGGAGCTTTATAGTGGAAAGTTAAGAGAATTTTTTAAATCGCTTATGTCTATTGAATCACGACAAATTTGGAAAAAGGAACTATTATTATTTCCCTATATTAATAATTCTCCATCGCTGATATCTATAAATACATAAGTTGTTTAAATTCAAATATCAACTATCATAATATATTAATATATTATATTATATTATTAAAATAATTTCAATTTTATAAGGTATAATAATTCACAAGTGAACTAATTTTTTACCACAAAATGTTGGACCCAGAACAGATTTCACCGTTCCTCCCCCTAAATTCGGCTCTGATAAAACAACATTTTCGAAAAAAATAAAATATTTATCGTTATCATATCTTCAATTAAATTGTTTTGAATAGTAACGTAAATTTTAATGTCATATTCCTAATCAGAATTTGTAAGCAGGTATTTAAAGTATAAATGGGTGAAGTGGAGTTGAGTAGCACAGAAGTAGGTACCACAAACAATTTTGATGGACTACTCATCTAAATGTTAAATACTTATACGCCAAACAAAAAACTTTTAAATTACCATAAAAAAAAAAAACAGCTATAATTTTTTTTAAAAGTATTGTTTATGAAGTAAAAAAAACTATTTTCAAAATCGTTAACACTTTTTGAGATAATGCGTGTTTAATGTTAAAAGAATCATACATACAAAAAAAAAAAATAAAAAAATTAGAATTAATTGATAGTAAAATAAATATTGTAGTAAAATTATATTATATTACATTACATTATATTCTGTAATGTTATTATGCAGATGTGTATAATATAGTGTATACATATCATTATAATATATTTAATATATATATTATATATGTATATACATAATATAATATATGCGTGTGTATACAATACTTTATACAAAAGTGACTCGGTTAGTATTGTTTTAATTTAAAATATGTATATTATAAGAAAATAATATTGTTGTCCATTATCGTAGATTCGTTTTAGTGAATTATTTTTCATACTAGTCTGTCTATTTTTGCCTGATAAAAATGTGTTGTGTCTTGTGTGCATATCTATATATAAGCATAGGTATACAATTTAATTAGATAACCAAAAAAATTAAGCGTTTGTAAAATCACGCTAGTTAAAAAAAAAAAGACTGAATGAATGAGTGAGCATCAAGTATATTTTGTATCGTAAACTTGGCTCTCCATTAATAAAATAATAATGAACGTTTAACGAAACTGTCTGTATTATTTTACGACTTTAGATATACGTATGTAAGGAACATAAACTTGTACATATCATTTGATGCTATCCATACGGAATTATTTTCAAGTCCGCACAATATTCATTTCATTGTAATATAACGCGATTATGCGCAGTATTAAGTAGGTATACCTACTAATTACTATTATTATAAATTAAAATACTATAATATTATCATTACTATTATTATTTTAATAAAAATAAAAATACGATAACATCATCTGCGAAGTACTTACTTACAATACTCTACAATTTCCCCTGTACATTTCAAATCGTATACCTGAGCTATGATAAGGATTTAAGAGAAGTAATTTAAAAATATTTAGTGTTTATTTGATGTTATTGCATAATATTATCTTAAAATCTTAAATAAAATGAATACCTTTTTTACATAAAATACATTCGTGTAGTTCAAAAACCACATAATGTCATAATATGTTAGATACTTGAAAAACAAATTTAACAAATTGTATATTATATAGACATTTTATTTATATTTAAAATTAAGACAAGATAATATATTATATAATATTATAGTTTAATGGTACATATGTATATACAATATATAAAATATTATATAGGTACTTCATAAGATGTTTAGTACTGATAAAACATTTTAACATCGTAAAATTAATAATATCTGTGCATTTCATCTGAAATAAGTATTAATAAATAATAATCCTGTGAGATCTCACAATGCTCACCAGCTTGTGCTTAACTGACACGTTTTCAATGTATAATTTGATTAATAATTATAACTGTTACCAGCTATAATAATTCCAAATGGTTTTGTGAAAAACGGAAAGAAGGTAATTATTTCCCGTGTAGTCACGTTTGAGTTTTTAACCAATTACTATTTGATTCAAGTCTATAAATAAAAGTGAATTTAGTACATTATGAGACTTACGGGGATAAAGAAAATATTTATATAGCCGTTCTACAAAAGCAGATCAAATGTTTTCTTTAGCTGTCTTTTATATATTTTCGTTCATGTTATAGACATGGTTCAACATTTCACGTTTTTCTTCGCCGACTCTCCTATCATGCTTATTTCTCCGTAAAATCTTTTAAAATTGTTATTGAAAACTCTAATGGTTTTCGTTTTGATCGTTCGTATAGCATTGTATTATAATAAATTACAATATTGCATATAGACACTATATACGGCTATACCTGCCATCAAAATGAATTAGCAGTAACTATTAAGATGTTCATTAGCTAATGGTTGATTATTTTGTATTTGTACTATAATAAATAAATAATAATATATTCCTAATAAAATATTATATTATACGTTTATAACTGTTTTAAAATATTTTCAATCATACTGTGATGTTCCTATACTTATGTTTCAAAATAATTTTTATTCGTACCTATATTACAAAAATTTGATTTTGATTTGGTTTGGTACGACACTCAATATTGTATAACCTACTATATGAAATATATATTAATACAAAATATCAAATAATATTTACTTATATAATATTATTAATTATAAATATGTCAATACCTAAGCTACATCGGCCGTCATCAGATGTATATTTATTTTTCCTTAATCTTGTACTAAAGTCCATATAATACGTATACCTATAATATGATGATCAGTGTTGTTTGTTTGTAACAATGTAACATAATATGTTAAGATATCTTGAATCTATTTTTTTTTTTTTTTTGTTTTACCTAATTCATCAATATTATTATACTACGGTAGGAATTTGTATAATATGCTTTCAATCGCAAATAATCTCACACTTGATGATATGAATTGTATATTACTAAAGGTGCACATTTTGTCCGTTGATATAGAAGTAGTAATATTATAAATTATAATAACTACTTTTATGATTATTATTGTGTAATAATATCATCAAAGAATAAATATAGTAATATTACTATGCACGGAACGAATATTGTGGTCTACCCTATCAATATGGTTGATCATTTCATAAATGTAAAATTGTTTTAGATATTTCATTGCATGGCTAAAAACTATAATATTACAGCTATGTATCTAGGTATTGTATTGTATTTATGTATTTGAAAAAGTTGAAAATGTTTACCTATCTGATAAGGAATTTTTTTAAATATAAATTACACAATATGTTTCTCTAAACTGTTTTAAAGAAAATTAAATTAATTTATAACATTATGTATACGTAGTAATATATTTTATAGTAAATATAATTGTCTACTTTATGATGTTTATGTGAAGTTAAAAACTCAACAACTCTATTTATAATATAATACAACATTTTCATAAAAATAAATTTTCCGGTATTATTGTGATTAATTTTAATTTTACGAAGATGTGTGTATTTTTTTATATTTTTATATTTTGTGTCTGTGTCTGTGTTTTTTGACACGATTTTCGATTATTTATATCGATAATGCATCATATTCAACTTCAGTATCTTTTCTGGTGGGAAAGTTAATCTAGTTGATGCTTCAAAAGGTAAAAATGAAAAACTTACAGTAGTTTTCAGAAGCATCGGGAATAACAAAAAAAGTTAAGAAAAAACGGGAATTTTTACGCAAATTCAGTTTTTTACAAAATTATACATTAAAAAAAATATTTTGACTCTTTTTTAGCTATTTATAAATAGGTGTAATGATTTTCTGATTACTGACTCGTCATTCATGCCACACTCGGTGAATTTGCTTAGGTTAACAGAACACAAGAATGTACGAGAAGGCACGAGCATATAATATATTATTGACATAGCCAGCAGTCGAGTTTGAATCACGAAGTAGAGACTTTCGCAGACAGCAGTCGTCTCTACATTTTAAATAACATTGATAATTTGATTTCCTATAGGTATAACTATACCTACCATACAGATAAATCATAATAATTCAATTTGT